TTTTGGAGCATGCACTTCTGCGTGCACGAGCATGCGTTGCTGTGTGTAAGCTTTTGGCGGCAGCGAGTGCTTGTTCTTTGATGCGCAGTTTTGCCTGTACTTTCGTTGCAACAGCAGGAGTTAACTTGGCATCTTGTAGAGGCTCCGCAGTGTACGTCTTAATGACATTTGTTGCAGATGCCATCTATGACTACGGTGGTGTGTCCGCCCTGTTGTGAGCTTGCTGCCACGGCTACAGGTTGCGACTTTGAGTGTGCAACGCTGCGTGCACGGCTGAGATCTTGCAGTTCACAACCATACAGTGAAAATGATCAGAGTGTGCAATTAACCGTGTTGCATGTCGTGCGTGCTGTTTTTGCCTCCCGCATGCTAGCAAATTACGAAAAAGACATTGCGTGTCGTAAGTCAACCCATGACCGTGCAGCACCAGTTTTTGGACAGTCGCGCAGGTGTAGGATGCAAATCCGCAGATTGTTGTGAGAGCACTTCATGTTGTTGTTCGCCGCAGCATTCGTTTGTGCGAGGGCATTACTTGTTGGCTCAGCATGCCCGCTCGTGCTTCTAAGTGGACAGGTTAGCAGCCGCAGCCTCAGCTATCAGCACGTTGCGCAGCGTTGGGTAGGGCTGCAGGAGTGAGTGAGCTGGTCGCAGTGGCCGCTCATGACAGGGTGGTGCTGCAAGTAGTCGTCGTGACGCATTCTTGCTTGTTGCTCTTGCAGGCTGCAACCTCAAACAACCTTGTGTGGAGGTAGAAAGCAGCAAGCCAGCCGAGAGCACTGGCCAGGAGGTTGGAACGATTTTTTGTGTGTGTGGGGTTTTTCCAATTACTGGCGGCTAGAACCAAGGCTAGGCTCGAGAAGCGTCGAGCCTAACCTCGACTTAAAGCTAGACTCGAGGCTAGGCTCGAGAACTCCAACGTCCTGCACAAGAAGCGAGCCCGCATGACACGAAACTACACACGCACGTGTCACCAACCTCCAGCTTCGGGGTCGATGACGACCCTGCGGCAGACATGAATTGGAGAAGCTTGCTACTGCGACTTTGCAAAACGGCACCAATGCTGATCTAGACTCCCTCCTTCCAAATCAAGAATTGCGTTCCGTAAATGCACCAAGAACGTTTGCTCCGTGATTGGCACGGGCGCGAAATCCTGTCACAAAGAGAACTCATGATGGTCTTCCTTCCCAGATAACAGCGCTGCAGCCTGCCCCTGAGCAGACCACGCAACTCAGGAATCTTCGCACGAAAGATGCTTCTGGCATAAACTGCTTCCCACCATTTGTTTGGCAGCATCGGGCGTACTTCAGGCGGAAGGTCGTGTTGGGCCACTCGCAGCCACAGTGCCGTACTTGTAGGCAACAGAAATGCACGTCACTTCAAAATCACCTTCAACCAAAAGGAACATGCTGCTCGGATACTCGCATCATGCTCAGAAGATGTTGATGCATCTCCATAATGTTGGCCATTGTCTGCGCGCGTCATGGGCAATCGCTCAGCACCACATATGCAAGAGATATCTCCTACTGCGAGGCAACTTCCGCAGCAGCAAGCCTGTCATCTGCTGTTTCTCACCTCTTGCATTCCTCCAGAGGATTTTTTTTCCCATCCGACCTTTCTGCAACCGTTCTGCGCAGTTCCCGTGCACGGGCCAGGCCAACACCAAATCCAGAGCCACACGCGGTAGTCCAAGGCAGCCCACAAAAGTCCAAGGGGGGCAAAGCAAGTTTGGACGCCGGCAGGCTAGCTGCCGCATGCTGACAGGCCACGACCCTTCCCGTGCTATGTTCTGGTCGTAGAGAACAAGCATGGGCCGCATGGTCACTTCAATGTTTACATTGGCAAGGGGCATAAGCTGTTGGGATCTGCTCAGGAGATCCACTTGCGATGGATCAGAACCTGCCATTAATCATTGCTTGCGGAAAGGAAAGCAATGAGTTGCCCTGGCAAACACCATGGTTGAGCGAATGGCTATCTGATCGCAAGTTGCATGTGGACCTGCGCCTGCCGCGTGCGATCTCGATCGTTTGTAACGTATGTCTGCCCTAAGCACAACCACTTATGTACCGCCTGCGCGCCTTTTACGTACCAAGTAGGTGCGTACCTTGCGTACGTACCGCAAGTGCCCTGCGTGCCCTCCCTATGTACCACACGTACGTACCGCAATAGTCCCAAACCAGTGCGTCTGCCCCAAGGTGCAATAGAAACCATAGCTAGCATCTTTCAAAGTTTCTCAACAAACATATGAAACAACCCTCAAAATGGATATTTGCTACGTTTTACACATCACCGTTGACATGTATCCGGCAACAAAACCGTGTGTGCAACGGCCACGGAGGCGCTAAAAGGCCGAACGACGCAAGAGCGCCCCGACCTGTAGCTCAGCGAGGCCCTTGTGGTCATGGGCCCTGAGGTTGGGGGCCGATGGAATGTTGCGCATCATGCGCGACTACTGCGGTGAGGGCCCAGCGCGCATCGCCTGCCTGCTGCGCGGCTGCCAGATTGGCACGGGCGCGGCGCGAACCAGTCGGGCCGCTGCGGTAGCATGCAAAAGGGTGCGCGGCAAATAAACAAATGGCATACAAGCTGTGTCAACGCAGTTGGTACGCGCTGAAATGGCAATTTTTGGACATCGGGTGGGCTGCGCGCACCTTCTGTTGCGTTCGCGAGCGCAACTTACAATACAGCATCTGGGATATGAAACACAAGGCGCCATCCGAGCATTTCGAAGCAAACTTAATGTTAAAGGGTTTGATGATATGTTGCGGGAAAAACCCCTTGCTGCCCACAATGCAGTGCCTACTCACTGTTTTGGTGAGACGCTGGGTAACACATGTGTCTACATCAAAGCCCTGCCGTATCAGTTGCCGCAATGTCTCCTTGAAGACACACAACAGGATGAAAACAGCTTCCTGGGCCGTTGCAAGTAGCATAAGTAGCCACAATGCGCATTCATTTTAATGCTCCGGACCTCTTGACGTTCCTGCGGACCAGCCTGTGCAACGTTAACATTATGCTTATTCATTGTTAGGTGTTGAAGCTGGCCAAGATGGCCCGGCTTCCAAGCGCCAAATTCCACTTCCATCCAAGCATCTGGTCCCTGCCCAGCTGCACCGTTGTTTCTTCAGACGTTGTAAATTGGTAAATGCATGTTGTTTCCGTGTTGTGCATTCTACATATGTTGCGCGACCGCCTATATTTGTTCTCGTGTATGTAGGAACCAGGGTCAGGCGGACCGGACATGAACAAAACCCCAATTAAACGATAGGCCCGCCCCCAAAAACTATACCCCGAAATGGGCAACTTACAATATACCCATCCAAAAACAAATATGTGGGGCATCCAGGCGAGGGATCTTTGCAAAACAAGGTAAAATGCCGCAAGCCTGTAAAATTATAGGACCCCCCCCCAAGCGAGACCTTTGATTTTTCAGTTAGCTGTTTATAACAAATCTATGCAGCTGCTCATATACCTTTTCTGCCAAACGTGGACATTTCATTTTTAATGAACCTTGAGGATGCAGATATGCAATTTACGTAAAGCCTGTTACGCCATGTCATTCTTCAGCGCATGAAATATGTGTGACATTGAAATTTTCGCGGCAATCCCTGCCACCCCTTTCACGCCCCCTTTGCACACCTTGTGTATTTGTTGCTTCCTTCTGACCTACACCATCGCCGTGCCTGAAGTGAGAACGAATTTCAGTGGAATATATTTGTTGTACGAATATATGATGGGGAGGTGCAACACTTAGGTCCGAAAAAAATCGTTCACTTGTAGAGCCCGTCAAAACGCGTAAACCGCGACAAAGTATGTGCAACATGCCATGCTGACATTTCCAAGGCTACGTGTCAGAGAGCTGGCGGTTCGTGGAACGCGACATCTAGTCATGAGGGACAACCGATCACAGGAATCGAGCCCACAGATAACAAGGTAACCCAATGACGTGTTTTGCTTCGGCTCAGTTTACTTCCTTAGTTGGTTGTTATGTTTTTTGGCTTCTGACATGAGGGTGTTATTCGTTACAACTCCGTTCAGCCAACAACTTAGCAACCGCAAGGTTGTTATTTTTAACGAGCTCCAGCGGCAGCAGGTGCAACAGCAGGTGCAACGAAGCTGGCTGAATGCAAAGATTCACTTGGGGCGTTTCACTTCGGCAGTTGGTTCATGGACAATGGAGACAATGACAGATCAGATTTGCCGAGGCTAATTTGAGCATGCTTCCAATCTCCAGACGACGCTCCAACCCATTCACATGGCGTGTTTACGGACCAAGCTCGTTTTTCCCGGCTGCGCTCGTGTCAAATCCCACCACAACGGGTAAGCGTCTTGCTTCCAAGGAGCGGCGTCCCAGCTAAAAGGGCACAGGTGGCTGGCGTTGTTTCACCGGGCCAGACACGTCAACTATGATGCTGGGCATTTTTGCTTGGAATGGTAGTTGATGGCGCCCTGTCAGCCCCACATACAACGTGTGAGTAGGTGGCACCTGATGATCTGTTCCAGACCATTTTTGATAATTGAACACACGTTTCATGGAAAAGATACAGTTCAAAGCTGGCAGAATCCACTTCAGCTTGGCTGTGGATGCGGAGGGGGACATTGCAGGCAGACACAAATTTGGGAATTTTGTCTCATTTGAAACGGAAACAGCTCAACGTGTCATTTTTGTTTCGGAAGAACGCCCTTTTTGTGCTATCCGTAAGAATTTTGCGTGAAGTCTGGTACGCGATAATATGCGTGGCCTCTCGAAGGTGGCCACTTCTGAAATACCTAGATCTTAGGTGGACCCCCCAC